CTGCTGAGGAGAGAAATGGCATCAATGCAACTTACAGCTGCCAGAGACATATCAACACCAACAGGTTCAAATGGTTTCTGAGGACAGTGGGAGCTCTGTGATTAAGTCTACCTTCTGATGTTCCTGAAGCCAGGAATGCAGGCTACTTGCTGCAAGGTGTCTACTTGAAGGCCAAGAATAACTTCAAATAATAAAGTTGTCACAGGACGAGAGGAAAGAACTATTACTATTTCAGCAGCACGGACCCCGTGCTCCCACAGTGGTGTTGCTCACACCGGTAGGATACTAACATCCTCTCTAGAGTCTTCTCAAAGGAAAAAAAGCTTCAAGGATAAAGCCTCTTTTCAGTATGTTATCTGCTTCTCTGAAGCCTTTATAACAGGAAAGGTCTGAAAAAAACAGCGTAAGTAGAGAATTTCTAGTGTGCGACAGCAGCAAACCAGTCAGACTGTGTATGCAAAAAAAAAATTCAAAAAACCAGAAAGAACCAAACTATTAAAACCTCCCCAAACACTGAAAGACAAGGTTAATATGAATTATACTAAAACTGAAATCTGATCAAAGGATTTATAACCAAAAGGTTGTGGCCATCCCCCCTCCCCCCAGCATCTGCTGGGGAAGCTCCTGGTCCTGACTGCTCCCAAGCTGCTTATCCTGTCCTGTATCTACCCCCCTCCACTGCTCAAACATGAAAGTGTGTGTGTAAATGCACACTCAATCAGATGGGGAAACATTATCCCTGTTTATTCCTCTGTTCCAGTTCACTATGGAGCTGCACAAACACTCAGGCCAGAAGATGACACGGAGAGTAGGAATAAGCAGACAGGAACAGAGACTGGGTTCAGACTCCAGTTTAAACCACTTTTTAAAAATTTAAAAGGTGAGTTACATGCTTCAATCCAGAAAGAGGAATAACCAACTCCAGCAGCTTTCACGCCACAGCCATGGCTGCTGTTAGTGATGGCAAGAAGAGAAACTCCCACTGTATTGTCGAGACAAGCCTCTCGGCCGCTCTGGACCAGCCAGCACTGTGCAGAAGAGGAGCTCGTTCCTGCATGAAACCAGGACACGTATGAAGACTATGACAGTGCTTCCTCTTCCAAGATCCGCAGCTCTAATTTAGGGTCTTAGTACTTCTTAAAATGACACATTACAGCGAATTGTGCACTCAGACGCGCAGCATAACTTCCAGAACAACAGAGCCAGGTACACTCAGGGACAGTAATGAACATAGCCAGTCAGCCTTTTTGTTTAGCATGTGTTCTAGTAATTTTGCAACGAATCTGAAAAACTGCTCAAAGTCCACATAAAAACCCACCTGAAATGACTCAGGCTCCTGTCTCTTCCTGGGGAAGCTTGGCCCAAAGGAAAAGCACTGAAATGTTCAGAAGAAAAAACTTTTATTCTGATTATGTCTTGAAAGAGGCAATACCGTACCGAGCTGCTCCGGAACAACCGCAGACCAGGGAACAAAGCTACAGCTCAAAGCTGACAACGAACACGAACAGAAAGGAAGTGGCTGGTGTGCTCTGGAGCTCCTGGGGTCCCTCTGGCAGGAGCATCCTTGGCAGAACACAGGCACCGACGGCACCTACAGACACCTGAGGGGGTCAAGGTGGGGGAGGGAAAGGCAGCCAAAGCACCCACAGAACTTGCGCTGCAGGATTGCTTGCTGCACATCACAAGGCACAGAAACAGTAAACCAGCATTTATGAACCCTGAACGTCGTTAAAACACTTGTGTGCCCTTTAAATGTCACAAAATAAGAGATTTATCTCCTTCCCCCCCAGAGCAAAAGCTTTGCCCTGCACTCCCCATTTTGATAAAGACTTTGAAGAGCCCCAGAAGACAGACACCGTGGTACAAAGCTGGGAAACCCCGACCTCTTCTGAACAAAGCTGCAGGCACTGACGGTGCGAGCTCACTGTACTCGGCTCCTGAATTAAGGTCTTTCACTCGTCACCAAAAGCCAAGCAACTGCAAAGCTGCAAACGATTTTACATGCTCGTCCATCAAAAGCTCCAACGCATTATCCCTGCCTCGGCACTAACAAAACGAGCCGAAGAGGACGGAGGGGTGGCATGGCCAAACCCAAACCACCCGCATTCGTTCGGGGCCTTTTGGGGCGCGGATTAAGCTGAATGCGTGGCAGGCTACTGAAAGGCCAGGCGCTGCCAGGTGCCCGCTGCTCTCCATGTGCAGCTCACCCTTTGTTTCCTGCCTTAGAGTCTTAAGGGGAGACGACTGCAAGCCCAGGCCCCCTCCCCTCCTCCCTCCTTACAGAAGTCTCCTCCCCTCTGCTCTCCCCATTTAGCCTACGAAGGATCTACACAACTTGGAAAGTAAGGGACAAAACACAAAAAACCCTTGAACCAACCCAAGCGTCACCTGCTTTTTAAAGAAATGGAGACAGGAATAAACTAGGTAAAGGGGATGATCAATAGCGTACCCCCAAAGCCTCATTTCTTCCGTGAGGGGTGATGAGTATAACAAATTCTCCACCGTGCTCCCTCCTGTGCAGAGCTGGGGAGTCACAGCCCACCCCAGCCTCCCTCCGCTCCACTTCTCCTGAAGCTCTGCTCCAGGCAAAGGCCAGCACCTGAGGCCCTTTGGGGGCTGTACGCCCCACCCCCAATGCTTCCTAGGGACACCTCACATGCTGCCACCATTAGTGTCCCCCTCTCGCAGCACCTTCACATTACCCCTGGCTGCCGCATCTGCACCAAGTCCTGCCTCAGTGGTCCCACACTCAACAATTCAGTTATCCCGGGACAGATGTGCTCACAGCTTCCACTGGCACACGTAAAAAGCATCAGTGTGAACCAGGCGACTCCTCCAGCTGCCATGACCCCCTCCACGTCGTCACACATCCAGGCAGCAGCATCTCCCCATCCCTCCATAACCAGGTGCCCGTAGCTCTGCACAGAGCAGCGCTGAGGGATCGAGCTGCCCCTCGCCAACTGCAAACCAACCCCGATACACACAACACAACCAAAATCTCTCAAATTTCCCAATGCACCCCATCCCTAAACAAGAACCCGAGTGGCAGTCCCACAACACAGGAACAAGCCCAAATATAAGCAGCCGTTTTTATAAGGCTCATCTCAAGCATCACAAGGACTTTCCTGGGGCAGCTGTGGGGAACCCAGATCAACTGAGGAAGAGCAAAGTAGGTTCTCAGTAAAAGCATTCTCCTCCACTATTTTGGGGGAAAAGCAAAAAGTATACAGACCAAAATACACTTGGGGGTGTTAAAAAGGTTTTCTTCAACCTTTTACACAGATATTGCACGGGTAAGAAATTCACGACAAAATATGCTTCACCCAAGAGATCAGTTAAGTTTTCCAGAACAGCGATGTCAACGACT